CCATAATCCAGTTTCAATTTTACGAGGCGATGTGCAATGCAGCCAATCATACAGGACCGTTATATAAATGTGATTTCTATGAATCGAAAGAAGCCGGACAACTTCTTGGGTAATTATAATTCGCAAGTTAACCTTTTGTTTTACACACTTTTTTGCCGTAAAGGTAATAATAGTTTCATGGTTTACTTGGAATTTCACACTTTCAGTAATATGTTGGCGCTTGGACGAAGCAAGCCGTGGCCAGAAGCAATGGAAGCCATTACTGGACAGCGGGAAATGTCAGCAGAGCCGCTACTGCGATACTTTGAATCTTTGAAACAATGGCTAGAGAAAGAAAATGAACGCAACAATGAATATATTGGATGGGAAAAGACATGGAGACCATGTAATTATATTAAATTTGTAAACATACATGAGATAAGATAGCATAATACATACTCCAAGTATCAAATGCATGCCATCGTGTCGGGATTCAATATTTCGACATTAATTATGTCATCATCAAGAATGATACATGACATAAACTTTTTGCATTTAAATAATAAAGACATCATCGAAACTATAATAAAATTAAGCCTATATAACAGAACTATTATATACGATAAGATTTGTTTTATTTCATTTCCTGTGTAAACAGTCAGCAGCACACACACAAAGATACGAAGCATTTTTTACCAAAGAATATAGATAGTAGAAGATAGAGCAACTTCCCAAAGTTGAACATCCGTTGGAAATGTATTGTGGGTTCACGGAGAGCAATCTTACCCCTTCCGCCCAGCAGCGCTATATATCAGTAATAAAGGCACCGCTCTGGTTTGTTTGTTTTATGTAGTTTCTCCACTCAAATTGTAAAATTTTACCCCGCACGAAGGAGGGCGGATGTTCCATAAATTTTAATGCAAATACGCGGAACAGCTCATTCTTCTGCTACTTAATTTCTTTATTTTTACTCAAAAATAAAGCAATTCAAACATTATTGAAATAAAATTACAATAACAAATTCTCAATTCGAAATTCAATTAATATAAAAAATATTAATATAAAACCTGCTTGAACTTCATAACATAATATTTTCTTGCTCCATCATGAAATATTGTGAATTCCCACTCCATTGAATACATTATTCAAATTTCGTATCATAATAACCAATAATGGTTACCGATTTTTAATACAATCAGTTACCAGCAAATATAAATTATTTAATATAAATTTAATTGAACATATTTTCAGGGTTGGGTTGGTATGGGCTAAAAATAGATAGCACTAAGTATGCGATTTCTATTCTGTTCCAACATTCAACACTTTTATTTTGTTTGTTTATCGTTTCAGATGATGTCAGTGCATCTTTTCGGCTGGTGCCTCTTGGTTATAGCTGTTTCATACTTTTTGTGCTGTCCCTAATATTTGGAAAATGAAAAGTTTGCATATATAGTATAGACTAAAATTGAAAAAAAAAATCTAAGAAAAACTAGCTATTAAAGACGTTAAATAAACGTTCTTCAAAAATACTCAGAATTCGATTGCCTTATGCTATTAGTTTGAACGGTTTTCAGATTGCAGCTACCCTGACACCAACAACATAATTATTTTGTAAATGTACATCTTTAGTTTCTATTAAACATGTTATATTGAGATTATTGCACATGCATTGAAATGATACAAA